ACACTTGACAAAATTCACAGCCCTTCTTATGAAAACTCTAAGCAAACTAGGAATAGAAGGAAACTTCCATAGTTATATAAAAGGCATCTACAACAAATCTTCAACAAATAGCATACTTAACACGGAATGTTGCAAACAACCCCTTTCAGGCGAGAACAAGATAAAGATGCTCACTTTATTCACCACTTTACTCACCACTCTACTGGAGGTCTCAGCTAGAGCAGCTGGCAAGAAAAACACAAAAAGTCACAAGGTTTGGAACAGAAGAAACAAAACTTCCTTGTGCAGACGGTGTGATCGTCTACGTGGAAGACTCTGCAGGACAATCACTGAAACCAGCAAGAGGGCGGGAGAAGGTGCCGGGCATGACATCCATACCCAAACATCAGGGACGTTATCACACACTGGCAACAGCTGGGTAACTTTTTAAAAAGGATAAAATTTATAACAGTAATAAAATCTAGGAATAAGTGTAATAAAAGATGTATGAGATCTTTAAGAAGAAAATTATTAAAATGTATTGAGATATATTTTAGAAGATATAACTAAATAAAGAGATATACCATGTTTTTAGATCAGGAGACTCAATATCATAAAGATGTCAATTCTCCCCAGATTGACCTATAGCTTCAATGTGATTCTAATCAAAACCTAAACATAATTTTTAATGGAACTTGGCAAGATGATTCTAACACATACATAGAAAAGTGAGGGCTAAGAATACCTGAGGCATTTCTGAAACAGAGAATGTAGTAGAAGGATTTGCCTGCTAGATATCAGGACTTATACAGCTTTAGTAATTAAGTCAATGAGTTACTGTGGCAGGGACAGAAAAATAGGTCAAGGAACAGAAAGATATCCATGCATATATAGAAACCTGACTTATTAATATGAAAGGATAGATTTTTTTCAATAAATGATGCTGGGACAGCTAGTTACCCATATGCAAAAAAAATAAAATTGGATCCTACTTCATAGATATGCAAACGTCAATTTCAGAAGGATTAAATACTTAAAGAAAAAGAACTATAAAGCTTTTAGATGATGTTATAGGAAAATAATTTTTTTGACCTCAGACTACAGAAAGATTTCTTAAACAGAATGCAGGAAGCACAAACCATAAAGGATAAGATCAGTAAATTTGACTACATGAAATGCCGCCTAAAGAGAATGAAAAGCCAAGCCTGAAACCGGAAGAAGATATAGCCAAACCAGTAACTATCAAAGAATTCGTGTTCTTTGAATATGTAAACAACTCCTACATTTCAATAAGAGACAAACAACCCAATGGAAAAATGAGCAAGAGACACAACAACTTCTCACAGAAGAATAAACACAAATAGCATATGACACAGTAAAAGATGCTTAAATAATGAGCAATTAATGCAATGCAAGTTTAAACCACAATGAGAGACCATTTTGCACTGGAGGTTGGTATAAAGTGTGGTGTAGCAATGGTGAGGATGGGGGGCACTGGGAGCTTTGCAATGGGATGGAAACTTGAACTACCACTTTGGGAAAACATTTGCCTGTACCCGGTAAAATTGAACTTACACCTGCCCCACATCCCATCAATTCCACTCCTGGACAAATTATACACATATGTATCAACAGTCATGCCTAAGAGTTTTCATAGCAACATTAGCCAAAAACTGGAAACAACTCAAATGCCTACTGATAGCAGAATGTATAAATTGTGATATAGTCATATGATGGAATACTATACAGCAGTGAAAATGAATGAGTTACAGCTATGTGAAGTATCAGAAGTGGGCCACAGAAGATACCAAACAGTATGTCTCAATTTATATAAGGTTCAAAAACAGGCTAGATTAAACAATATCCTGTTTAGGAATGTTCACATAGTTGGTAAAACTGTAAGAAAAATGAGGGAATAAATAACCAAAATCTAGCCAGAGGGGTGTGGGATTAGGAAGGGGCACACGAGTAGTTTCGAAGCTGCTGGTAATGTCCTGTTTCCTTACCTGGGTGATGGATTCACAGGAGAGACCAAACATACATACTTCAGACACTCTTTTGCCCATATGGTATATTTCATAATTGAAACAAAATAAAAACAATAGAGTTTCAGCTCCCACTGCTCCTGGTTGGGTGTGGCCCATGTGGAAGCGGGTGATGTAGGGGTGGGGGCCTGTGGGCCCACCAGGAGAGCTGAGTCCCAAGTCAGGGGGAATTTTCCTGGGGTTCCAGCAGGTGTATTAGATATGGTGGTGAATGTATGAGTATGCTCAGAGAGAAGGCCAGAGGAATCTCTCTTCAAGGGGTTGAGAGTGGTCATCGCTGTTAGGGAGAGTGGCCAGACAGTCGTGGGTTAAGCCACCAAAGCATAGTGACCCCAAAGTCCTTTCAAACTATGTTGCCCAAAGCCAATCACACGCTAAGAATTCAAGCAGCATTTGCACCTAACTTCAAAGGCTGGCTGCATACACGGGAGCAACACCTAGTTTATAAACTCAAGTGTGGGGGGTGGGTAGTCTGGTGGGTAAATGGAGAAAGTCTTGTTTAAAAAGTAGTATTTGCTTTGGGGCTGGGACTCAAACCTCAGAGGAGCGACGTGGACATCTGGTGGTCCCACATGAGAAGCTGGCATGGCTGAGGTTAATGTTGACAGTTGGGTTACCCTGTCACCAAATGGGGGTGGGATGATAGGAAATGAGACCAAGACAAGAGACTGGACCCTAAGAAAGGGTCTTGACGCTGTGCTGATGATAGACTTTATTCTCTGGGCTGGGGAAGCTGCTCGTATTTCTTGCGCATGGGAAGCCACAGGAGTAGATCCCTAATTTAGAAAGATCAAGCTGGTCCAGTGTGGAGGTTGGACTAGACGGGAGAGGGGCAAGAGGCAGAGAGACCAGTGAGGAGACTGTTGAGAGGTGCTGCCGGCCTGAGCTGAGGCAGGGACCATGAGATTGGAGGGGAGCGGGAGTGTGAAGACCAGAGAGGGGCCGTGGTTAATGCTGTCCCGAGGATAAAGCTGGCAGAGATGCAACAGTTAGTCCTCTGGGGGACTGGATGTTTGGACCCCAACAGGAGAGCTCATTCTGCTAAAAGGAGACTATTTGCTCAATTCTTGGTTTATGTGGCCCACAGAAGGTGAAGAAAGGACTAAGAAGGGAAGAGGGAGGGAGAGTGGGTGCTGCTTACACGTTAGGCACAGCTAACATGCACCACTGCCTGCACTACTCACAGCCCCCCGAGGAGGGCGGGTGACCCAGTCTGACAGATGAGGAGACTGAGTTTCACACGGCTAGCCGGCTAGTTGGTGGTGGGGCCAGAAGTTAGCTCTGCCTGGGGCTCAGGAGCCCCCTGTAAGGAAACACCACCCTAGACTCCACTGGGGGCAGCCAGGAAGCCTCGTTGGCAGAGACCTCAGAGGAAGAAACGTGGGCAGACAGACCTGTGTTCTGGACTGAAGGAGAGCAGATTTTAAAAGGCCCGAGGACAGGGAGGGTGTAGAAGTGGGGAAATCGTTGTTATAGGGATCTGCTGCTGGTTGCACTCGTGCGAAGGGCCAGGTCAGCTCCTCTGACCCCACCTGTCCCCATGCCCAGCTGCCTGCCCAAGTCCCACCCTGAACCAAAAACCAGCTTCGGCGGGTGCACCGCACGCTGGACCGTTAGGTTACGTGCAGGCTGTCTTCAAATAGAATGACCAAGATTCAACCCAAAGCTGCAAGGACTGCTTGTATTACTCTATCTGTCCAGGATGCTGTGCGCACGTGCTCTCCGGCACGTCTCGGCCCATTCAGGCCTCAGTTCTGGACTCAGACCTGGGTTAGATTCAGTCTTCAGTTTAAATATCTGTCAAATGAGGATAATAATTGTTCCTGCCTCATCTGGCAAATGGGAGCAGTAGGTGAGATAAGGCATGTGAACGGCTTGAAACGATTTGTCTCCAAGGGAGCGCTCAGTACAGGGGTCTGGATCCTTCTCTTAACGCCTAGTGGCCACGACAGAGCCCAGGGCAAAGAAAAGCTCTTCTCTGCTGCCATCTAGTGTGCATCCTGGGAATAACACTTGAGTGGAGGTCACCAGGAAAAGCTCTTCTCTCTCCAAAGGTTTCTGAGTGAATGAAGAACGTGTCGGAGTCAGGGCCGTGGCCCAGATGCGGTCATCTGTGCGCTGGAAGCTGCCCACTGGAAGTAGAGTCCTCGAGACGAGACCTGGTGCAGGGCCTGGCACACCCTGAGTGGACAGCCTTCTCCCCTGGCTCTGACCTAGGCATGCGTTATACCGCCCTCTCCTCCTGGCTCACTACCTTCCCCAGCGCGGTTTTTGAACTAACAGTGTGCTTAGAGAGCCTCTGTAAGACACCACATCATGGGGCAGTGGGGTGCAAACCACATATTTATTTTGCAAGTAAAAGAGGCAGCCCAGGAGGACCAGAACAAAAGGCACCCAAGGCTGAGAGCAGAAGGCTTGGATGTGGAAAGACCACAGAGAGGCCTGCAGGGGCCGGACTGCAGCTCCAGGAAGAGCCAGGGAGGCAGGCTGTGGAGCAATCCCGGGCCCTGGCCTGGATACTGGGCTGAAGCGGCCCTGGGGACTCAACTCCAGGTGCAGCATTTGCAGGAAGAGCTAAACACCAGGCTCCTTGGACAGCTTTGCTGGAACAGCTGCCCCCCTGCACAGCTGTAGTAGCTGGACCTGTCCTGAGGGTTGGGATAGAGCCCATCAGCTTTGCCCCGGCAGAAGGTGTCTTGTCCAAGGCTGGGGCCATGCTCAGGTTCAGAGGGCTGGCCCGGTGTGAGAACTTCTGGCTCTGGAGAGCCTAATGGCACACAAGGAAGACCTGGGAAAGCAGTGAAGATTGAGCCAAGGTTCCCCCAAGAAATCCCAAACCCATGGGCCAAGCACACAGGCAGCAACCACAGGCAGTCAGCAGCCACACCGCCAGCTGCAGCACAGCTCAACAGAAAACACCAGGGCTGCAGGTGTAACAGGCAGGCCACGGCCCGTCCACCATCTGCAGAGCCCAAGCATGTGCTGGGGAGGCCAGTGGGGTCTCACACCTCAGGCTGAGCGCAGGCTTTCTCCTTGAGAAGAGAGGAGCAAGCTGCTGTTCCCAGGCCCCTGGAGGGAAGCCCTGGTTACCAACAGCCTGGGCGGGCATTGCCTCAACCAGAAAGAGGAAGGAGAGTGTGAAAAGAGAATTGGCTCAACAGTTTCCTCAGCTCCTGGGGGTGCATGAAATTTGGGAAATCACAGTATTGGGGCAAAGCCATTTCCTCAGAAGGAGCCAGGGCCTGCAGTTCAGGGACAGGGGTTCATATCCTACCCGCGAATTCTGCCTCTGGTCCCTGGCCCCTTACTCACTCAGCTCCACCTGCAGGGTCTTGATGAGCGGGTATCGGCCCTGGTTACAGAAGGAGCCAGCGAAGTCGTCTGTGTCCAGTGCCCAGACCATGGCCCCACCCAGTTCCTTCTGCTTCAGATAGCTGACCTATGCGAGGAACAAGATGGGGGTAGAGGAGCCCAGGGAAGCCCGACAAGGCCAGCCCAGAGCCTGGCTTCCTCATCTAGATAGGGCCCCTTTTTTCTCCAGCGCCCCCAGGCCCGCGAGTGGTTCTTTGGCACAGCCCTGGGCTGGGAGCCTAGCTGGCTACGTCCTGATACCTGCAGGGCATGAGCCTTCTGGAATCCCCTGTTCTGACATAGTATGGCCTGGGATGGGGTTGAAGGTGGAGGTGTGAGGAGTGGATGGGTGTGTGGACTTCCCTAGGTTGGAAGCCTTAACAACTCGGCCTTTTCTGGGCTGAGCTGCTGTGTTTGAGAATACTGTCCGCTGGTTGTGATGAGTTCAGTTACCATAGGGAATGACAAAGCTTCCCCAAAGATCTGAATCAATTCCCTGTCTTTGTCCTCCCCGAGGGCCTACTCTCCTCCACTAGATCCCAGAGGCTTCCTCAGGGTATAGCTGTGTGTTCCCTCAGAGTGGGCTCCCCTGTCCCCTAACTCTGCCAAGGGGCCATGGCTCACCCTGGAGTGAGGCTGGGGTTTGGAGGGTAGGGCTGGTCTGGAAACTTCCTGGCCCCAATCTCCCTCTCCAGCCACCTCCCTTCCTACACTGTCCCCCCCTCGGGCTTTCAGCTGTGTGAACCCATGTCTTGTTCTCCAAGTCCATCCTCCCTTTTCCTCTCCCCCATGTCTTTGCTCCTGCAGCTTCCTCCCCAGAATGCCCACCTTCTCTGCTTTAAGACTTTCTCAAAGACCCTTCCACCATGATCCCTTCTCCCATCTCCCTCAGCCTGGATCATGTTCCTTCCTCGATTCTCCCAAATCACTTTGCCCACACTCTAGAAGAACTTGCCACTGCCTGCATGGCGCTGACGGGAGATGCACAGATGGACAAGTGCTGCTCTGCAGGAGCCACAGGCCTCGTGAGGAGAGAGGCATGGAAACAAATAAAACGCTAAGTTTTGAGCCACCAACATTAGGCTCATTAGGAGTGAGTGTCATGTAAGTAAATCACAAGGTCTGTATTATGAACATACAACAAATATTGTCATGGACTGAACAAAATGATACGCTCACTGTATGTATTTCTCCTCTTCATATCTATGTGGAATTTTTATTTAATAAAATGCCAATTCTAAGAGTGCTACTCAACATAGAATGATTTTTTGTCATTGTGTCCTTTCTTAATCGATATGTGGTGAAGGTGAAAATGCTGTCACATGGAGATCTGTGAAATGCTGAGATGTTTTAAAGGACACCCTCCTTGAAGAGGTTCTGAATGCTGTCATTCAATGTTACTGACGGGCCTTGAGCCCACCCAGGACCACCCCCTTGCAGTAGCGCTGGGGCTCACCTTGGTTTTGAAGCTCTCTACATCATCGAAACCCACCCACTGGTCACCCTGGAAGGCATAGGGCACCTTCTGGTCCTCGATTCTGTGCTCAGAGGCCCCTTTCCAGGAGCAGACCTGTCAGAACAGGAGACAGAGCGGGGAGGAGGTGGGTGGCACTTCAGGCATCTGTGCCTCCCGCCAAGAGCAGACTGGAGATCAGAAAGTTCCTGTCTGAGGGAGCCTGGAGAACCTAGGAGGTTCTAGATTGAGTGACCTAGAACCCTGGATTCAGTGAGGCGCCTGGGCTTAAGGATAAACCCGAGATGACAGGCATGGGATGGAACTCACCTGGCCAGAATTCGCTGTGCCTGGCATCCTCACTCAGATGCTGTGGGAGAAGGAGCCCCTGCCCTTCATGGTACTAGGGGTGGCTGTGGGCTCTCCTACCTCATAGTAAGCCAGCACCCCTCCCTCCTTGGTGAAGGGGCCAGGGGTTCCAGGCCCCATAGCTGGGGCCCCCACTCTGGTGTCTGATGAGGAGGCCAGGGTGAAGGATTGTCCGTAGGTGGGCATGCCTAGGATCAGTTTGTTGGTGGGGGTCCCCTTCTGCAGCCACTGCTGCACGGCAAAGTCCTGGTGGTAGAGAAGGGGACAGAGTTAATTTTCTCTGCCTTTAACCCAGTTGTGATGGTCCAAGGCTGGGGGCTGCCGAGGAGCTTCACAGGCCTTTATTTAGTGTTCCAACCCTGCCCCGTCTTCCTTAGATCCTGTCTTAGAGCCTCAACCCCAGTGAGAGAAGCTCACGGCACTACAGCCAAGAATGTGGGCTTTGGAGTCAGACAGCCATTCTCCGAGCAAATACGCACTGATGGCTCACAGCGTGCCAGGCCTGTCCTGGGATGCTTGGGCACCTCAGTGAACAGAGCAGCCAGGGATCCCTGCCTTACTCAGCAACTTACTTAATCTTGTTGAGCCTCGAGCTTCCTGTCTGTAAAGTGGACACAACAGAAATACTTGTCTCTAAGGGTGTTGTAAGAGAGCAGGGGCGTGATGCGTGTGTAAGGTCCAGCACAGTGCAATGAAGGGCTGCTAACTGTGACCACGCTCATGTTGTTCCCCCTGAGCACGAGACTAGAGGCTTGGGTCTCTTTTCCCCAGTGCCTAGAGCAGTGCTTGACATGTACGTGCTCAAATAGAAAGAACAAGTGAGTACAGGGCTTCCCCATCCACCTCTGCACGAGACCTTCCCTGTCGGTATTACTTGACTTGATGGCTCCAGGCCTATGACATAAGGAGGTGCCCAGCATAAGCATAAGAATGAAGATCCTTCCTCAGGATTATGGGCTCACTTCCCCCAAGAAGTGCCCTGTCTGAGTCTTGGTCCTCTTGCTCAGCACTTGGGTAAAGAACAGCTTTCACTATATTTATTTATTTTTGTTCCTTTTTGCTGGTCTACGTGATTTATCTTGGATCAGACTGGAGCTTTCTGAGGGCAGAGGTCAGGGCCCCTGCTAAGGTCTGTGGCACTTCTGTGCAAGTTTGGAAAAGTCACCTCTCTGGCCAGAAGCAATCCCGGGCACACAGTACAGAGAGCAGAGGCCTCTTTGTAGGAATGGAGAACACGGAGCCGGTGGCACTTCAACCCCTCACCTCTCAGCTGAATGCCGTGTGTCCCACTGGGCTGGGCTGGCTTCCCCTGGGGTCACACATGGGCCAGGCTCCATGTGAAAGGTGGACGCCAGACTCAAGCGCCCAAAGAGGTGAAGGAGCCACCGAAGTTCAAGATGTTCTGCCCCAGCTGATACACAGAGATGTGGGCTCCCCAGGATTAAAAGCATTTTAATTTAGGCCTTTTTGTTGTTCTTGACTTTTAAAGTGTAGTCTGGGCTTATAAGAAGTGTCTAGCCTGCTCAGTGAGGAAGAGTTGTGCAGGAAACCCCAACCCACTCCCGTCTAAACGCAACCTGCTCTTTCCAGAGGCTGTGGTCAGGGTGGGGGTAGCTCTGCCCTCAGTGACACGTCCTGAGATGTTCTCCACTTGAGAAAGCTCCCGCCTTTGAAAGCACCTTCCAGAAGGCCCAATCAGTGACTCGGAGCAAAAGTTCACCCATTGTCTTGAAGGAAACGGGTGGGAATGTGTGAAGCAGCAGGAGCCACTGTGGCTGGAAGCTCAGAGAGGGCCTCCCGATCGGTCGCTGGGTGGCCTGCCATGTCTAACATGAGCTGAGGTGCTGCACAGCAGTGGCACGGAGCAGGGAAATAAAACGAGCAAGCACCCGGAGGAACAGGCATCCTGGCCCCTCGGGGCCACGCTGGGCTTCCTGCTTTTTTTTTTCCATCAGGTTCCCAGAGGCTCAAAAGAGGCCACTTGGCAAGGCCTGAGGAAGGGGAGTCCTGCCTCATTCCTCTGGCCACTTACCATGTTGAGTTCAGCCGCTGCCCCACCCTCTCCTGGCCTCTTGTAGAGGGGGCTATTATGTCCTGTGGTCCTCTCCCACGAGCTGTGGAAGTCGTAGGCCATAAGGCTGATGAAATCCAGATTCCAGCAGGAGGCATGGAAAGAGGGGTGAGGGGCCAGTGAGCAGGGTGCAGCCCTCCCCTTTCTTGCTCCTTCCTCCCCCACGTGGTGCAGGGCCTGAGAGGGACCTGATGGTAAGAGGCGGGGGCTGCAGGCTCTCCTCTGGCTCTGTGAAAGCTGACATAGGCAGCACTCCCCAGTCAGCACCCCCATTTTCGAGGCCATTCTCATTCAAACTGTGATGTTGGCACTCCTGTCTTTAGCATCCTCCACCCAGCTGTCCCCTTAGCACCCTCAGGACCGATTCTGCTGAGGACACCTCGTGCTATTTTGCTGTTTTGGAGGGAAGTCTAGCTCAGTGTTTGTGGACCTGGGTGCCTGTTAGAAATGTGGTCTCCTGAGTCAGAACCTGCCCTCAGGGAGATTCTCAGGTGACTGACGTGCACGTCTGAGTCAGGAGGCCACATTTCCAACAGGCACCCAGGTCCACACACAGCACTTTGGGGAGCAAGGATCTGGACAGCTCATCCTCTAGGAGATGCTGGGGCTTCACTCCTCCCTCCCCCCCACCCCGGGATGTTTCTCTTTAAGGCTGAGTTCTCAACGACGAGGACAAGAATCCAAGAAGAGGGAATCTGGAGCGTGGAGGAGCAGATACACTGAGCAAATCCTTCCTGTGTTTGCTGGTGGAGGGGTGGGGCTTTCCCAAAACGACACCTTGTAGGTGAACCCCTGCTCTACTCCTGGAAGCTCAACCGGCCCATGGCCCCTCCCACCCCAGAGAACACGGGGTCCACGCCTGTGGTCCATGTCTGTCTGAGACTCACTGAGCAATTTTGTCCACCTCGTATCCAGCGTCTATGTAGCTTCGCCCTGACGGCACAGCTGCACTCAGAAGGAGGCGTTCCTTCCCTGAGGTCTGGGCTTCCTGCTGGAAGGCGCTGGCCAGGTCCTGCAGGGACAGCTCAGGGTGAGCACAGAGGCAGGGACCAGGCTGGCCCCTGTGAACCCAAACAGAGGCTCACTCTCGGTGTCTGAAGACTGACGGTGGGGCTGGTCTGTGCTGTGTAAATACACCAAACTCATGTCCTGGGGGGCTACAGCTCTGGGCCCCCAGCCAGCTGGGTGACCCCACCTAGCCATACGTGCACCAGGGCTGTGAAGCGGTGCTTGTCCGAAGGAGGGCTCCCCCGGCTTCCCGGGTACTCCCAGTCAAGGTCAAGGCCGTCAAAGTCATATTTGCGCAGAAACTCAATGGCTGAGTTGGCAAAGGTCTGTCGGTTGTTGGCTGTGGCTGCCATATCTGTGAACCTATGGGGTGACAAAGGGCAGTATGGGACTGCCTGCACCGGGCAATGGGCCGCTCTCTCCTCAGAAGGTAGTGAGAAACTATTCGGAATGTTGTTGCTTGGCTGTTAGGCCAGGAGGGCGCTGGGGGGCTGCTCCAGAGGCTGCTGGGACATGTGCTGGTGACTTACGGGCCTGGCTAAGGAAAAGGGACCACCTAGAGGTGTGTCCTGCCCCCAAACGTTGGCATCACCAGGGACACATTGACTCACTAGAAGCCCTGAACCAGAGCTGGCTGTCACCCCCGCATGGAGGTCTACAAGGAAGAGGAATCAGTTTCTAAGTGGAAGAGGAAGAGAGGTGAGAGTCTGGGTAGCTTGGGGGCTGCAGTCCTAGTTCCCTGGCGTTTTAACCTGGTCACTCTTCTTATAACTCACATTTGTAGGATACTGTGTGTTATCCAGAGCTCTTCAAAATCCCTAGCCTGCCCCAGGAACCACCTCCCCACATCCTCCTTCCTCAGCATTCCTATAAGAAGTCCCTGGACTTCTCCGGGGTCTTGAGTTTTTTATAGACTGATCCTATTTTCTTTTTCTTATTAATTTAAATTAATTAACAGCTGCAGTTCTTAAGTGGGGTCCATGAGCCTGGGAACCCCAGGGTAGGAACCCCTGCATATCAATAAAAACTCTGTGTGTAAGCAGTATTTTGGGAAGGTGAGTCATAAATGTCATCAGGGTCTCAAAAGGTCTCATGGTACAAAAAAGGCCTAGAAAGACTGGTTTAGAACTTTGGGAACAATATATTCTGGACTTTCTAGGAAAAGTCTAGTCCCAAATATCCCATTCCATTGTCTCCATAAATCATCAAAAAGGTCCTAGAAATGGCAATATTTTGGCATCCATGTTCAGCCTCACAAACTGCCTTTGACACCCAGAATGGGAACAAAAATTTCACACAAGCTATCCTGTTTCAGAGCTCAGAAAATATAGACACTGTATGTTGTCTGGGATTAACTGGGACCCTCCCTCCACCCATTTTGTGGAGGAAGAGGCTGAGGCCTGGAAAGAAGTCAGAATGTCTGTGCTGCGTTTGGATCCTGTGATCCTGGTGAGACTGGATGGATAGTAGCCTGGAGCACAGCCCACCTCTCTGCCCTCCCCATGAGACACCAAGAACCCAGAAGGAAAGTCAGTTCCTAGCATCCAGATCCCCTCCCATGTCCCTCACTCTGGCCACACCTTGGCTTGGCTCGATTCCCTGACCAGGGATCTCTCCGGCCAGTGAGCTGGTTCCCCACCCAATGGCTCTGCCACACAGATGCCCACAGTCAACTCACTTCTGAGTGCCGAAGTTCCAGCCCCCGACGGCCAGCAGTGTCTTCAGCTTGGGATTCCTGGAAAAGACAAGAGAAGAGCCCAAATTCATGCAGCCAGCTCCCAGGGCTCACCTCCCTGACTGCAAGGAGCTGGTGGTGCCCTGGCAGAGCTGACGGAGTTGGGTGGGGGAGGTGTGAGTCTCCATGCGCAGAGCCTGCACTGGGGAATCTCTCGATTGGGAAGGAAAAGACGTGTTCCTGCCCTCCAGGACCTCCTTTCTGGCTGGGGAGACACACACACACACAAGGAATTCAGGAAGCGAGAGGTCAGGGCAGGTCCTCAGAGAGGCTTCATCAAGGTGGTGGAGAAACCTGAGCTGAAGGTTGGGTAGATTTTAGGAGGAAGAAGGGCACTCATTCCCAGCAGAGGGAAACAGTTTCACAGTCCAGATCCTACTTAGATCTAAACTGGAAGGGCCCTTAAGGAGTCCCTATCTCCCCCTACCTCTTCCATATATGTGCAGGACAGCCCAGAGAAGGGATACGACTAGCCCAAAGCCACACTGAGGGTCTGTAGCTGGATTGCAGTGCTGGGGAAGGTTTCTGGCTCTGAGAGGAGGTACCTGCCTTCTCCAATTCCCATCGCCCCTCCTCTGCAACTCACATCTTCTTCAGGCCATTGAACTTCTTGTAGAGTGCGTCGTCGTCCCACTCGATGGAGCTGAGCTGGTGATTGTTCATGCCAGCAAAGGCATAGATGAGGTGGGTGCACAGACTGGGGCTCACATCCTCAGGCAAGAAGCGAGCGGGTCCCTGTCTGTACTGGGCCCAGTTGGTGAAGTAGCAGACCAGTTTTGCAGCAGAGCCTGGCCAGTTGGGGGAAAGAAAAGAAATGGCGATCAGAAGGGCCTGATGGGGACTGACACCCTCTGCCTGGGGACAGAACCTCTGTATGCCAGAGGGCGTTAAACATGGCATGTTCATCTGCTGAAGGCAGGGAGGCAGAACTTCCAAAGCATAGCTCGGAATACTTCAGAATGTTAATTAAAATGCAAATACATGAAGTGGAGGGGAGGAGGCCCCAGTTACAGGCCCGGTTTCCATTTCTTTAGTCTTGCTTTAGAGGTTTGCATTTACTTGTTATTCCTTGTGGAGAATCTGTGTTTATTAACATCATTGAAAAGGTGCTAATAAAGAGCTTCTTTTATCTAGGAAAAGGCAGCTTGTTTCCGGCTTCCCCTACAGCATGTGAGAAGACTTCCTGGGGAGGGCCTCTGCTCCCAGAGGGGGTGGTCTAGCAGTGATGGCCCCCACCGTGCTCAACACTGTGCTAGGTTGACCAGAATGCCAGAAAGCAAGAATGCTAGTCTTCATTCCCACATCTGTCAGGAACGCACTTTGTGCTGATCCCCTCTCCAGCCTTGGCCCAGGGGTCCCCATCTGAAAATGACTCTGTGGTCTCTTCCAGCTTCGCATTCTACCATGGTGTGCTTTGTACGGGCCAACATTTTATGCCAGGAACTGGCTGAATGGAGAGTTTGGACAGGAGCACATCTGTGGCTGGTGTCTAGACCATGGAACTTCCCTTTGCCCTGACAGGGTCTGTCTGCGCCCCTTCCAGCACCCATGTGGCCAGTGAGAGGGCAGGGCCGGGGACGGGTGCAAAGTGGCTACAGGAGGGTGTGTGGGAACACAGAGCATGGAGGGCTGGTGAGACTCCCTGGGGTGGCCAGCTGGCTCCCAGCAGGAGGATTCAGAGCTCTTGGGTCGTCACTGGCCCTAACCAGAAGTCACCCAGTAATGGAGCTGGCTGTTGGGGGCTGGGGGTGTCGCCTGCAGTGATATAGAGGGAGGATTGGTGAACTCCCCAAAGCAAAGGAAGGAAGGAGGGGATTAACCCAGAGAAGACATCTCTAGGACCATCTAGGAAGGAGCCAGGAGGCTCTTTTTACATATCCTGTTATATAAAATCAAAGATCATGCACGGATTTTTCTACTACAGAGGCCGTAAAGTGTGGTGGTTAAGGGCAGGGACTCTGGAGTTTCAATGCCTGAGTTGAAATCCCAACTCTGCAACTTTCTAGCCTGGTAACTCAGCTTCCTCCCCTGTAAATGAGAACAATCATTGTTCCTCTCTCATAGGACCGTTGTGTAGACAAAGAGTTAATACATGCAAAACACTCAGAACAGCGCTGGCAGAGAGGCAGCTGTGTCCTAAGTTCTTCCCACGTATTACCCCTCGTCCACACAGAATTCTACTACAGATCTACAGCTGTATGTATCACGCTACACCATATGCCCAGACGCAGCTTGGACTACAGCTTCTGGGAAATCTTCAACCTCTACCTTCCCCATATTTGTTATTTCTGTGGCCCCTGGCTGTCGCTCCTGTGAGACCAAAAGGGGAAATGTGTATTCAGTGCCACAGCCCAGCTTCGTGACAGGTCTGAGGGGCCAGCACTCCTGGGGCCTTGATGCGCAGGGAGTGGTGGCGTAGGAGGGGAACCTGGAAACCCAAGTTGCTGCAGATCCCTGGAGAGCTCTCTTCTGTCTGACTCAAGAAGGAGCCCCCAGGCTTCCCAAGCCCTACACGCTATCAGTTCAACAGATGCGAGAGTGAGTGTGTCGTCATCACTGAGCTAAGAGGCTGGGACACAGAGCTGGATAAGACTGAGGTTTCCTACCTCCAGGAGCTCAGAGCCTGTTGGGGGAAGGCACCCAAGCCCATTGTGAGAAACACTGATACACACAGTTCACAGTGTGAACTGTGTTCAGGCGTGGAGAGCACAGAGGTTGGAGCAAGTGACCTCAGGAAGGACCTGAGAGAGGCTGACACTTAAGCTGGCCCCATGGACGTGCAGTTCAGCTGGTGGGTAAGCAGCAAGAACCTTCCCCGGAGAAGGAACAGCACGGCTGTAGGGGGATGAGGACACTTGCAGGGGGCTGGGTTTTGGAGGAGAGTCCCCACTAAAACTGGCAAGAGCTCCTGGGGTGAGGTGGGGGGGAGTAAGTGGGAGAGAAAGAGAGCAGAGATGGGGCAGAGGGAGGCCAGGGCTAGCCTCAAGAAAGGCGCCACTCACCCCATTGGATCGCCAGCAGGACCATCAGACCTGAAGCAAGAGAGAGAAGGCAGAGGTCAAGTGTCACCCTCCCTTTCCCAGGCCCCGTCTGCCCATCGAAGCACAGGAGGTGGAGGTGGTCAGGGAGGGGTGGCTCTAGGTGGTTTCCTACACATCGAGCTTCCTCTGTCCAGAAGGGACCTAGGAGGGCACTGTGTCCATCCCTTCACCAGACCACATGGCAGGGGGCCCTCCCTGGCCTGGGCTGATGGTAATTTTCATGAGCTGAGGCTGCCTCCTCTAGAGCATCAGTGAAGGGTGGTGTAGATCTAGGAAGATTCTAGGAAAACCACTGACTTGTGTGGTATTCAGAGAGAAAGTTTCTCTTCCTAAAGGAGAAGAAATCTGTCCTGGGGCTGGAAAGAGCCCATTTGGGCGGTCTTGGCCGGAAGATCCATCACCTGGTGAGGCCTCTGGGCTTCCTGCTGCTTTCCCGCCACACCTCAGAAGACGCTGGCGGGGTTACCGACATCCATGGAGACCTAGGGCTCTGCAGGGCTCCTTAAAAAGGATTCATTTCACCTTTCTGGTGACCTTGGATTTTCCAGTTAACCTAATAAAACCCACATGAAACTTTGCAAGGACATCCAGGGTCATGGCTTCCAGGCTGCCCTCCTGCAGGACAATCAGCGTGGGGTTGCCAGTGGGCACCTCTTCGATGAAGCCAAATGTGGGGGCCTACGAGCACAGGATAGACGACCACCTAGTGCAGGGGCTCACTGACTCTGGGCTTCTGGGACAGAAGGAGGAAAAGTCATTTTCAGCCTGTTGAGAAAAGCCTTTCCTTGCAACGCAAGGCCCGAGGGGAACTGACAGAAACGAGAATTGAGGGACTGCAAGCCAGGTGGCAGAGGAGGGATGGGATGACCGTCCCAAGTTCTCCTGGATGCTCCTGCTTCCTTGCACACAGCACCAAGGAGCCATTTAATGTACACACCCCGCTTCCCCACAGCTTCAGGGCCCAGCCCTCTCTCCCTGACAGTGCTCACTTACCTGCCCAGGCCACGGACCATGCCATGGTGTTGGCCTGGCAACACTCCAGCCCGTGGGACCAGCTCTCCAGGTCCTGCCCTCCTTTTATCAGTGGCCCTGTCCCACCGCAGCCTGCTATGTTGAAACCAACGGGGGCAGAGGGAGGAGAGAGGGGGCTGTGGCATGGTGTGGAGGGCCAGGGTGTCAGGTGGCATGAATTGGGCAAAGCTGACACAATGGCCTTTAGCAATTCTTGGTTTTCTGGAGCAGTCACAGGGTGTGAACCGGCTCTTAGAGTTGCCAAACCCTAAGAGAGGCAGAGAGAGGGAGGAGGGTGGTGTTTCTAAACCTCCTGCTGTACAAGCGTGATTCTGATTTCTGCGTGTGGGCTGTTGAGGGCCACAAGGGGCCCCAAACTGCATGGGCTTTGGAGGAGGAGAAATGACTCACCAGGCAGGGAGCTGAGTTCCAGAACAGACTGCCAGCTCCTCCACAGCCCCCTCTGGGACTCAGCCACCCTCTCTGTAAGATGATGGGACTGCAAATATACATGTTTGTTGATAGCAATATTTTTATTGCTATTCACATGATAGTAACATTTTTTATTTCCATTGATTGAGGAAAATACATGATGATAAATAGCAACTACGAGCTCAGTGATGGTTTTACAGGCCTGTGTTTCTTATGAAGACTCGTAGGGACCTGTGTTAGCTTCCTAGGGCTGCTGTAACAAATGACCACACACTGGGTGACTTAAAAATAACAAAAATTGATTCTCTCACAGTTCTGGAGTCCAGAAGTCTGAAATCAAGGTGTTGGCAGGGCCATGCTTCCTGCGGAGGTTCTGGGGAGAACCTTTCCTCGCCTCTTCCAGCTCCTGGTGCTCCCGGTGCTCCTCGGCTGTGGCAGCATCCCTCCCATCGTCTCCATTTTCACCCGGCTTCTCCCCCGTGTCTCTGTGTGCCACCTCCTTTCTGCCTCTTATAAAGATGCTCTTCATTGGGTTTGGGGCCCACCCTAATCCAGGATGATCTCATCTTGAGATTCTTATCTTAATTACATCTGCAAAGACCCTTATTCCAAATAATGTCACATTTTGAAGTTCTAAGGGGAGAGATCTTTTTTTTGGGGGGGGCACTATTCAACCCCCTATATGACCTAACTGGGTACATATTACTTATTCTGTCTGCAGACAGTGTCTAATGCATGCATGAGCTCTAGAGTCCTGGGCAAAACTCTGCAGCTTCTAGTGGATCCAATCCTTGGCCTTAACATGAATGGCCTGGATGACTGAGTGGTAATGTCCAGGGGCAGCGGGCTCCTGTGTCAGGTTGCCTGGGTGCAAATCCCAACTCTGCCATTTACTATCTTTGTAATCTTGAGCAAGTTTTTTAATTTCTCTGAGCTCCAGTTTCTTCATCTGTAAAAAGAAATCCTCAGGATTGCTGTGAAGACACTGTGTGCTGCCTGTAAGATTCCTGGTTCTGCCCGGCCCTGACACTTCTGCCCAGTCTCTGTGGGTGACAGGGAAAGGCTCTGGAAACCTTTGTGAGGTCCCTGAGAGGGTCTGACCTCCACGCCCCGATGGACAGGCCCTGTGTCCTCACTTTCCCTGCGACCGTTATGGCCTCTGTTTCAGCTGTTTCTGTCCCCTTCACTTGGAGATCCTGCAAAGGAGCCCGTTCAGGGTCCTCTGAGATCTGCAGAGGTGCCTCAGGTCCTGGAATGTAGGGAGGAGGGGAAGGGCAAATGTGGGGCGTGAAGACTAGGAGGCCCTGAGAGGCTTCTCCAGAGAGGCAGGCTGCATGCTTCTCTTGCCCCCACTTCATATATACTGACCTGTCAACTTTGTTTTTTTTTAATTTTATTTATTTTATTTTTTTCCCCCAAAGCCCTAGTAGATAGTTGTATGTCAGAGCTGCACATCCTTCTAGTTGTTGTATGTGGGATGCAGCCTCAGCATGGCCGGGCAAGTGGTGCATCGGTGCGTGCCCGGGATCTGAACCTGGGCCGCCAGCAGTGGAGCGTGCGCTTAACCGCTAAGCCATGGGGCCAGCCCATGACCTGTCAACTTTGAACTTTCTGACACAGCTTCATGTCACCAAGAGGCCCCTGCACTGTGGTGCCCAGGGTTCTGAGTTGCTCCAAACTCAGACCTGACCCCGATAACCTGGGGTCTCCAGTGTGCCCCGTAGCCCCACAGTTAGCATCACTACCTCAGTTAGTGCAGCGATTTCTCCTCCTCTTCCTCCTCATCCTGCTTCTATTGTCCTCTTTTAATTTTTGTCCCAGACCATTTCTTCAAAGAAAAATAAATAGAAACCTAATATATGAAACAAGCTCCTCTAAGTTGCTCTGGAAAAATCTGGTGAGGGTCAGGGGCTCTGACTCTTGTCCCCTCAGTACCAAGATCAACACCTCCTCACAGGCCTCCAAGGGGTCCCGTGGAGCACCTCAATGGGGGAAGGCCTTGTCTTTAGACAAGTACCTTGGCAAATGCAATTATGTGCCCTATTTCCTAAAAATAATAACAGAGTTTGGTAAGATAACTAGATTTAAGGTAAATATACAAAAATTAATAGCTTTTCTCTATATTTGCAATAATCAACCAGAAATAGAAATAGGGCAAATATCTGCTCCAGAGAAGTATCAAAATGTATAAAATACTTAGGAATAAATTTAATGATAATAAATTTAATAGTAAAATCTATGAAACTTATTACAGGATATAAACAATACCTGAACATGTTCCTGCATGGGGAAAAAAATAGCATGAAAAATGTCAATTATCCTCAAGAAAAAAAAAATTGATAGTAATGATGAGGGACATATTCTATAAAACTTACTATAAATCCATTGGGACCCTAACAGTATGGAATTGGCAGCAGAACAGACAAACAGTGGTAGATTTGAGCATATATGTACCACAGTGGGAATATTTCAGTCGAGTAGGAAAAGGATGTTTCCTACCTGTTAACGACTTATCTACCAAAGTGGAAATAATCACACTTGGGCCCCTCACACCATCTATAGTGGCAATAACAGGGGGTTGGATTAGGGGCGCACAGGGAGTACAGGAGCACACCAGACCTCAGCCAGAGGGCATGTGGGCCAGCGGAGGTGGTGCTTGAGAGGAGTTTTGAGAGCGAGTAGTGTTGCCAGGCAAGGAGAGAAAGGAGGAAGGTCATGACAAGCATGTCGATGGTCACTGATGGAGCGTCTCAGCCAGGACACTGCCCATCATACCTGCAGGGAGAGTGAGACAGTGACAAACCCTGCATCCATCAGTTGAGAACCACTGGATGAGGACGGCAGGCTGGGGTGGTCTTTGCCAAGGGGCTCTGGGTGGGAGAGCACTGGATGTGCTAGCAGGAGAGGAGAGAGGTGCCATGATTTGCCAACTTGGACTCATTTTACAATCATGTCTTAGGCTAGGAAGGGCACATCCTTGGCTGATCTGATGGCCAGACCTAAACTGCAAGAAATCAAGGCATAGCAAGCCCTGCTTGTAGGCTGAGGCCTGGGAAGCAGAAAGCAAGCCCATGTCCTTTGAAGCTGGGGAGGAACCATCCCCCAGGACAGACTCAGAACACCCACCCCTGCATTCCTAACTCAGGCAAGCAGGTCTCATTCCCCAGTTCAGGTCACCCATGTATAGAGCTGAAGGATCCCTGGTGCCTTCAGCAAGTTCTAATCAACGGTCCACCAGGCCTTTGCTCCCTAACCCTCTCCCTCCTGGGGCTGCCCTCCCTGCCCTGCAAATCTACAGAGATCTATCGGAGTCAAGCTTTGCCTCCTCCCTGGTCACATTAGTCCATATCACTTTCTACCATCTCTGAGCAACTCCTTCTGTCCAGAACAGGAAAGGATTCCTCTTGAAGACAGATCTCGGTGTGCCTCATTGGATTTCCCAAAAAATGACTTCAGGGGGATTCTACCCATCCTTTAATCCTCATCGGCTTCTCTCATCCCTCTTGCAGCCATCCTCCTCCAAAACCAAATCCAAGTAAAACCAGTGTGCTTGATATACAGTGACACTTCAAGACCGATCTCCAGCCCACCCCACCGTAGAGCAGACTCCTATATAGAAATTCTGAAGGAGCACTTAAATATATAAAGCAAATTTTAACAGACCTAAAGGGAGAAATAGACAGCGATACAATAATAGTCGGAGACATTAATACCCACTTACATCAGTGGATAGATCATCCTGACAGAAAATCAATAAGGAAACATTGGCTTTAAACAACCCAGTAGAAATTCTGGAGCCTCCTCTGGTTCACATCCATCCTGGTTGGCTGAGCTGGGGCTGGTTACAACCTCTCCAAGCCGCAGTTTCCTCCTCTGTAAAATGGAGGTAATATTCCCTATCTTACTTGTGACGTGGATCGAGTAGATAATGTGTGAAGATTTATAAGTGACGGAGCACCCACCAGATGCTATGAGGCTGCGATCATGACGGCTGGTGTCACACTGTTCTCCACTTGCTTCACGCAGGCATCTCATCTCTGTAGGTGGGCTGTCCACAGCCAGGCAGGGCTGGGCCTCTCCCCACACATCTCTATGTGTCCCTCGGTGCCAAGCATGCGGTGAGCCTTCAATTACTGCCCGTTAACTGCTTCTTCCCACATTCCAGCCAGTTCCTCCCATTGCAATAAAAGGCACCCCCTCCCACCCAGTTTCTTAAGTCATGCAGGGAGCACCCTTGATCCTTCCCTCTTCTTCACCCTCACATAACCAGCTGCTACTAGACCCCTCCACCACTCCAAACCACCATCAGCTTTCGCCCCGGCCACTGCTGGAGGCTTGTAGCTGCCCTTCCTCCTACCTCTCTTGCCCCCTGCAATCCATTCTCCACTCAGCAGTCGGGATTGTCTCTGAGAAACTTAAATCAGATCCTGTTCCTCTCCTGCTAAGATCACTCAATGGTTTCCCACTGGACTTAGAATAAAATACAAACTCCTTAACTTTTTCTCTGGAAAATTCCAAGTCTGTTCTTTCACTAAGGCCTTTGCACCTGCCATTGTCTCTGCTTGGAATGTTGCTCCCTGTGATCTT